GAGAGAGAGAGAGAGAGAGAGAGAGAGAGAGAGAGAGAGAGAGAGAGAGAGATCGAAATGGGAACTGCTGCTCTTTCTTGCTTATTTCTGCACCTCTCTTCTTGCATATAGTGACATCACGGGATATTTTAATTTTAATTTTAATTCGTCTGCTCTTTACTTTGTTCTGTCTGTCTGGGGATAGACTTTAGGGCGCATTCATGATTGTGGGAAATTTGAAATGTAGTGCTCTTTATTTACCGCTGCCCGTAGGATAGATGGGACCTGCTGCTTTTTTTTCCGTCTTATTTCTGCTCCTCTCTTCCTGCATTTAGTGACATTAGGGCATAATCCAATTCGTCTGCTCTTTACTTCGCCCTGTCCATGCCGTTGGGATAGATTCATTGTAGCAGTACTTCTCTTGCTCTCTTATTGCCTATGTAGCGGCAGCCTACTTGACTGAGGTGAGCAGTTAACATGTCCTTCAAGAGTGTCTTAATTACAGAAGATATGGTAGGCACGCCTGTCTTTCCAACTCGCACCATTGTCAAGGAGCTTCTCATCTCTGCTTATAGCTGCAGCCTACGATCGAGACAGGGACGCAGGTTTAGGAGTTTTGGAGTGCCTCAGAGGGAAACTCTTGGAACTACTACCGTAGCAGCGGCACCACTTGGAGCAGTGAGACAGTGAGACTGCAACGAGGGGCGGTGGGAACGCTACTGGTCAGGTCGTAGGTGGGAACGCTACTGGTCAGGTCGTAAGTGAGAACCCGTGAACCGCAAACTTGAGTTGTTCCCATTGTGATCAATATGCCATGAAGATCCAAGGGAGCGTGCTGGGAAACCCGTCAGGGTCAGGGCAGCTCGGGCTCTTTTTTTTACAGGGTGTTTGGAAAGCCATAATCATGAGAGAGTAGCCCTGATGGAGATTAGGGGATTTTGTTGGTGTGTGATGATGATCTAGCTGGCACATGACTTTGTCTTGGCTCCCAGGTCTTTAACGTCTCATTTGGTCTTGTGGATCAGATCTAGATATTGGTGTTTTGCTTTTTCAACTGCTGTTAACGGAGGCAGTGTGGGTAGCGGCACTACAGAGGCAGTGTGAGCGGCACTACGGAGGCAGTGTGAGTGCTACCCGCAGTGGTGGGAATGCTCCTAGCTTGTAGGTAGCATAAATAGGGTAGGAAGCAAACTTGAACTGTATCCATACTGATCTTGGTCCGTTGATTGATATTGTCACTGAAAATCCAAGGGTGCGTGCTGGGAAACCCGTGTTGGCAGCTCAGGCTTCCTTCAGTTTACTGATCCGTACTTGGTCTCTTTTCTGTAAGATCTTGTAGCGAAGCTGGGTAAGGCTCCCAGAGAGAATATTAGGAGGAATTATATGAATTCTTCAGTAGTTCTTGGCTGTTTTGCTCCCTATATTCTGGATTCCTAAAAGTTTTGCTCCAGTTGCTCACTTTCTTTGTAGTTGCAGACCATGGGACGCTGGAAGCACAAGCTTCACTACTGGGTTGAGATGTTGAGGGATTCCGGGCCTCATTCAATTACTTTTGTAATATAAGCTGCTAATTGCTCTAAAAAAAAAAAAAAAAAAAAACACTGGCAAGGACGACTGGAATAAGTGTCTGCATCTGCACGTTTTCCACGCAGAGATGCAGAAAAGCAGATCAATCACAGTTTTCTGCACCTCGCCACAAATACGTCCAGATTCATACACATTCCAATCCTCTTCGCCAGTGGGATCTGGCCCATAGCCGCGTGAGGCTCCGTGTCAGAGGGGGAATGAGGTCACGAAGAAAGCAGTAGAGAAGTGAGAGACGACTGGGATCTGCATCGCCGTTTCTTATTTTTTTCATAGTTCTATGGTTGTTGGTGATTGTGTCATAAGGGACCGTCCGAAAGTAAAGTCAATAGGCACAGTCCGAGTTCTGGTCTAAGTCAAGGGGTCGGTCCAGATCCAGACTTTGAAGTCCAAATCTAGGCCGAGAGGCCTCAGCAGCAGTCGAACCTCATTGGGACTACACTGGGACACATGCAATGCAGGGTCTGGGACAAAGGATGGGCTGAATTGAGCCAATGCAGACCCAGCGAGGAGTGGCCAGCACTATAAAGAAAGCTGCCAGCCTCATTCCTCGCCAGATCTCCACTGGCTGCAATGCRTGGAAGTGCTGGTGCACTTGTGCGCTGAGTCAGGAGGAGCAGCGCTGGAGGTAGAAGCTGCGCTGAATGGAGGAAGAAGACTGTACGCTGGATATGACGTGGCCATAGCTTCCCAGCGAGTTAGCATTAGTGGTAAAGGGTTAGTGTGTAGCTATGAGTGGTATTCATAGTAGATCCTCATGAGTAGAGAATGTGTATGCATCGTAAGAGGAAGGGAYTGAGATATAGAGTGTTCATTCAAGGTTTGGCTATGGGAGACACTTACCTGAGTTGGTTGTGAACTGCAGAGGTGGCGCTGATGAGTTGTGACCATATTGATGACATGGAGACTATCTGCAGGAGTAGCGCTGGTTCACTGGAAGTCATATTGATGAGTTGACAAGAGATTGGTGTTGCGCTGATGAGCGCTGGACTCAGGGGAACTTTGAAGCACTTTGTATTCATATTTTTTGATAATATAAGCTGTGAAACTCGGTCCTCTTCTTCTCTACCTTTGTCTATGGTTGAGACTATTGATCACTGCATGTGAAGATGATGCATGACATGTACACATCTGCGTGAGATGGTCCCCAGGACCCATGCAATTTTGGTATCGGAGCGGATGCTCGCTACACTCATAGCGCTGGTCTGATCAAGGCCGGTGAGAAGAAGTGGTGATGGAGGAAGAGTGAAGGAGGGAGGAAGAGAAGAAGGGTTTGATGGTGGGGGAAGCAGGTCGAAGAAGAAGTGACGAAGTTACTTACCTGGAGCGTGCGGAGCGTCATGGAGCATCATCGGCGGTATCTTCAAGAAGAGAGAAGCACCTCTTTTTCCCTGAACCTGCATGCATGTGTGTGTCCCCTACCTTCTCTCTCTCTGACCCTCTGAAGGTGACTGCTACTGATCTGGTCAGGAGTCGAAGTCTGGATCTGGGTTGTCATAGATGGCAGGTCTGAGCCGTCAGAGTCTGATGACCCAAGTGTGATGTGTCAGGAACTGGTCACACTAGAGTAGGTGGTCCTGCCATGTCAGATAGCATGTACCAGGCAGCATAAGGATGATATTGAGTATCTCCCGAGCCTGTTAAGCCCGAAAGAAAGCAAAGGGCATACGAAGTATCTTTGCCTGGGTGGGTAAGTGAAACAATTGCATCTGACTTCGCTGCGCTATACTCCATATCTGCACCAAGCAACCAGCCAAGTTAGTACGAAAAAAAAAAAAGAGAAAGCGAGACAACAGAAACACATTACCAAAAGTTCGATCCAGGAGGCCAGACAGCACATCAAAAAAAAAAAAAAAAGGCTATACAGATTCAACAAGTAAGCATTCTTTTAATTTGATTTGTTACCTGCAGCACCTTCTACAGTCCACAAAAAAAAAAAGAGTATAGTACTCCATTACCGCAAGTCAAGACTAAGCCCGTCAGTGGGATAGTACCTTGGTGATCCGGCGGAGGGTCTCCTATGCCGGTAGTCATCATGGATGACTATCCCATCCAGGGCCTGTTGGCCCTTTCTGTATTATTGGGGCCCTTGTTCAGGCTGATGTTCCCATTGGGGTTCGGGCCTGTGTGCACGTCCCGTATGCTGATGCGGTCTGGAACAGTGAAGCCTGGCCCTACACCTGCGGAGCAGGCAGAAATAGACCGCAGGCTGGCAGATAAGAAAAAGGAGAAAGAAGCAAAGAAAAAACAGAAAGAAGAAGAAGCAAGAAAGAAGATGAAAGAGAAGATGGAGAGAGAGTTGGAGGAAGAATTGAAAAGTATAGAAGAAGAAGAACAACAACAACAAGAAGAAGGAGAAGTGTTGGAAAGACGTCGTCGCCAAGACATACCTGAAAGCAGCACAACGCCCCACCTTCCCGTTGAACCGCTGGACTGGGGCAGCCGGTACTATTACTACAGCGAGCCGTTAAAAGAATCTGATGAAGAACGGGATGCGTTCATCGCCAAGTTGGCCACTATTAACGACACCGTTGAACGAAACCTGATGTTGGAGGAGAAACGGGCTGAGCTAAATCGCAGGCTATTGGCCGCTAGACGGCAAGAGGTGGAAGACAAGAAAAGATTGCAGGCAGAAGGGGATAAATTGCAGAAAGCTCTAGAAGCACAAAAGGAAAACCCCTCTGCAACTGAAGCAGAACTTGCACTCCTCAGGGAGGCCGTCCTCAACACGAGGCAAAACGTGGACTTAATGCGGCAGATCTTGCAACGTGTAGAAACACATCGGGTTGAATTTGAGAATGTCTGGAATAACTTCGTAGAAAAGTCAGCAAAGGACGTTGACCAACATGTGTAAACTTACATCCAGGCTTTGGACGAACATATTAATAAAGTCTTCACCCCGGAGGTCGTAGATAAGATTGTAAAGGGAGCTGGAGGCGACGGAGGAGATGGAGATGGCGACGACAATGATGACAAGAAAGGGAAGAAGAAGATTGAGGATTCAAAGGGCCAACCTTCCCGGGAACCCGGACAGACTAACAAAATTAAGCTTAAACTGCCATGGACCTGCAATGGAAAGAAAGAAGAGAGTGTGTTGCATTGGGCGGCGACAATTGAAACTTATGTGTATGGACAACGGATTCCGTACTGGGACAGGGTATTGATGGCAACCTCGTGCATGGGAGGCGACGCCATAAGCTTCGCCATCTCGCTGCAAAAGGAAGCGGGATGCAGCTCTATGGTAGAGTATTCGCAACAGACCCGTATTGAGGATTTCCTTAGAGGACAAGAACCTGGCAAGGCGCACAAGAATGTTGATCCTCAGCCTCCCCGAAAGAAAATGAAAGAGTACGTCTGCATTAAAGGCAACCATGGATGAACTATTGCAATGCCCTGATCATGGATTGACGCCGACCCAAATCTTAAACAGTTTTGCACGAGCACTCCCAGATCCCCTAAGAACACAACTCTATCCCCGTACCAAGGAAGAGGGGATGACAAATGAGAAGTTCGGCAAGATCGCCATAGATCATGCCGGCTTTCTCGCTGAAGCAAATTATTGCCATTACTGGAAGGATCTGCAAGCGGGTAAGAGATGGCAAAACCGCACCATCTCAGGGTCTATACCTGGGAAAGACAGTCTCCTTCTAACCTTTGAAGAAGGAGGCGCCGATACCATC